ACATACATATATACATATATATATATATATATACACACATATATACATATATATATGTATGTATGTGTGTATATATATATATATATACACACACACACATATATATATATATACATATATATATGTGTATATATATATATACACATATATACATATATATATGTATATATATGTGTGTGTATATATATATATATATAATTACAGATTCAACGTTCAACTACATGGTCAAAATTAAAGCAGTTTTGTGTATGTTTGATATCACATTAATTGGGAGTAAAGAAGCAACATTTTAGCCTATCTTTTGGTTTATACTTTAATAATTTGACTTATAGTACTCCCTTCGTTGGGATTTTACTTTTTCTATATTTTTTAATAACCGATAAATCCGTTTTTGATCTGTCCTTTTTTGACCCGATCACAGCCTTCTAAACTTGGTGTATAAAGGGTCCGCCCCTCTACCCTTCTCCACTTAAAAATCTAGCTTCGCTTTACTTGTCAAATTTTAACTTGACATATATATTACGATAACAATAATTGATATATTATGTTTATCATTTTACTCTAATTAATTGATAGAGTTCAAATAAATTGAGGGTATAATATGAAAAAAAATTGTTCTTTCTTAATTTATCAAAAAAATTATCAAAACTGACAAGTAAAAGTAGAAATTAAATTAGAAAATATTTGACAAGTGAATCTGAATAATATTTTTACATAGTTTTCAAATATATAAAATTCAATTTTTAAAAAAAATCTATATTAAAATTTATAATCAAAATTAAGAAATTTGAGTCTCGATTTATGATATGAAGAGTTTTTTATTTTTCAGGTAAATATTATAAGGATTGGACAACAACTAGAGTACTTTGCAGAATACCAAAAGAGAGTGGGAGCTTTGATAGGAAGTGAAAAGGCAAAGAAATTGGTGAAAGAGGGTCTTGTTCTAATTACACTTGGTGGCAATGATTTTGTCAACAACTATTATTTAGTCCCTTTTTCTGTTAGATCTCGTCAATATATGCTTCCAGATTATGTCTCTTATGTCATCTCTGAGTACAAAAATGTTCTTCAGGTAACAATTATACATACTCCCTTCTTCCTCATTTTTTGTCACTATTGGGACAACAAAATTAAAATTTTAAGAAAATAATTATGACGGGTAAAAATGAAAATCTACTTGGACAAATAAAAGTATTCTTCTACAATGAAGCAATGCAGACCTACTTTAGAGAGGAAACAAATTATGCATGTGATTAATTATTGTACAATTCTTAGTTGTACATATTATAAAGTTGTAGTTACTTGATGTAGCACATGGTAAAGACAACTTTTTTCATTATTGAATTTGAAGATCTATCATAATGCAACATGAATCTCTAATAATTGACCAATAATCAATTTAAATTATATATACTGACGGTTTAATTTTATGATGCAGAAACTCTATAACTTAGGAGCTCGTAGGGTTATTGTGACGGGGACAGGGCCATTAGGTTGTGTGCCCGCGGAATTAGCCCAAAGAAGCCGGGATGGAAGCTGTGCTGATGATTTGCAGCAAGCAGCAGTATTGTTCAATCCACAACTAGTTGAGATGCTTAATGGTCTCAATAGTGAAATAGGCACCCATGTTTTTGTTGCAGCAAATACAAACCAAATGCATTTGGACTTCATTACTGATCCTCAAGCTTTTGGTACATAATTTAGCCCTTCATAATTATTATCACCTACTTACTTTACTCATTCTTAGCATATACAGGAAAAAAAGTTAGATGAGAGTAATATAGGTTGTAGCAAAATAAGTTAGCCTAGGCTTTAAATGATATCTCACATTTTTAGTCCTTTCTAATAGCTACTACTATAAATAATGAGAGCATAGGGTAAAGGTAATAATTGTTCTCATAGGGTCCGGAGTAATTTATTACTATATTATTTTTACCACCTCCTAAATAGAGTTTACAACTTTTTTACTCCTTTGATAATTCAAATACACGAACTTGGGGCGGGAGGTGAAAGATATCTACCATCTGACCAACTCCCTTTAGTCTTCTTGTATTATATATATATATATATATATATATATATATATATATATAAATTGTACGGTGTAACTTTTATACACTAGTAGTATATATTAGAAGTTTTACACTATGATGAATACAAGTAATTGTCCATGATAAGAGGGATAATAACCTAGAAAATAGGGCAAGTATTTGGTACAACATGTTAATAAACATGCATTAGTTAGATACTATGTTGCTTTAGACTCTTTGAAAATGTCAATGGATGTCTGCCGATTCCTTCAAAAGTAGTGCACTTTTTGGAGGATCCGGTACGGTATGGCATCCTTTTTGGAGAGTCCAAAAAACATATGTTACATATATATATAGTTGTTTACTAACTTTGAAGGTAAATGGAATATGGGACAGGATTTGTGACATCAAAGGTAGCATGTTGTGGACAGGGACCATACAATGGGATGGGGTTGTGCACACCTTTATCCAACTTGTGCCCAAACAGAGATGAATATGCATTTTGGGATCCATTTCACCCCACAGAGAAGGCTAACAGAATCATTGTTGAACAAATCATGACTGGAACAACTGATTACATGCACCCAATGAACCTTAGCACCATTATGGTCATGGATTCCAAGGCTTAATAAATTCTACTCTCAATTTATTTAAATTTCCACTAGAAATGTTATTCATTTGATGTCCTTTTAGTTGAGTAATTCCTTCTTTGAAAATGTAAGTGTTATCGAGTATATCATTCTCATAACTTGTATTCCTGCATCTTTTCTTCTAATAGTATGTCTTCTTTTTTGTTTTCTTGAATTTGTGATGAACACGAGTATGTATTATTGGAAAATTTACAAAAAAATTGGAGTATGTCAGTAGTGCAAGATTCTAATTTAGATGTAAGCAAAAGAATTGTTACAAATATTAACAAAATTAGAGATTATGCATTTCTACAGTAGAATTATACATCTAATCCAGAATCTATTGTAAGTTGTAACAGTCTTTGAGTTGTAATTATGCAATCAAACCGTATATTTATAATTGCATTATGCCGAACAAATAAAATTTTTATATTGTGTAATTACAAGGCACTTTCCTAGTAATTTACACCAAATGCAATGGAGCTTAGCTTTCCAAACAGACCTAAAGAATTTTCCTTCTTAGGTAAAATATTATAAGGATGTTGTCAACGGTTGTTTGAACATACAAACATGAAATTTTTTAAAAGAGAGCTCAACTATCTCAAGGCAGATGAATACTTTTATGTAATATAGGTGTGGTTAATCCAAAATGATTCTTCTTGTGGTTTCTCTTAACTAAGCTTGCATTAGATCTTCTTGAAGGAAGGATGCCCTCAAGGGTTTGATTCAATTATAAGAATGCAACATGAGATGGGTATGCCAAACACACATGATAAGTCAAATCCTACTACAAAAGAAGAGCCTAAACTTTAATTGGAGAAGGATAGAGAGGGCACACTCGTTCACTGAGTTTCTGAGAGCGTAGCAAAATTAGCAATGCAAATACTCTTATTACTACCAAAACTGTTTGCTCTACAAAAGGCTTCCACCAATCAATACTAAGCAAAAATCACTTGAAGAAGACAAATAACATGACAAAAATTCTAAAACAAAGAGACATTTGGCTTACTTAGCTTTAAGGGTTGTGCAAAGGATAAACTGCTTTACTGTTTTGCCTCACCAATAATGGTGATGAATTCCCAACATCTCTAAATGGTGGCTTTTTTAGTACTCCTGATTTTTTGCTGCAAGAACGTTCTGTTCTTATCCCAACAGAAGAAAGTTCTGATCTACCACTGCTGTCATTGGCTCCGCGATTTTCCCTCAGACAGTGCATAAACATGCACTTTTCCTTCTCTAGTTGTTTCCCAAGAGAAACGGGTGGAAAATCTTTTGTTGAAATCACTTCAACACCTCTTTGATTTTGCAAGTTCTGAATGGCATTTTTTCAACCGACAAACACATGTTTTTCCTTCTCAATTTGCTTGGCCAATGACAATAAAGGTGAATTCGGGGTAGATGTTACCTCTCTCTGATCATGTGCCATGGATTTCTGTCCTTGATTTTTCCAGCTTGTCTTTTGCTGTAGTTAATTCACACTGCATATCCTTTGCCTTGGTTTCAAATGCTTGTGCTTTGCCTAAAAGCAAAGAAAATGAGATAACAAAAACAACATATCGAGTAAAATCCCACAAAGTGAGGTCTGAAAACCTGTTTTCCTTTATTTCTACATTTGACAATTAAGTTTAATACATTATTATTAATAGTATAAAAGAAATATAATAATTATTTTCACCATACTATTGCATATATAAGGTGGAGTTTTGGCTAATCCCTGAAGTAATACCCAAACTTAGGGTACATCCTTACGCTACAACTGTGAACAAGAAACATCCTTCAAGTTTCCAAAATTTACAAGAAACATCCCTCTATTAACTTTTGTTAAGAAACTAACGGCTGAAATAAACATCTGTGTCAAGCACATTTCCCCCCCAAATCTCCATATTCTATTGTAATTTTGTTCTTCTCATATACGTATGTTTCAAGTTTAAAGTTTTCCCTCCATCGGGATATTACCAACTAATGGTTATACTCTGACGGGATCGCAGAGCTCATATGTGTTTTAGCTTCTTCTTTTTTTCTCTAAGTATTATTTTCCTCATTTAAGTCTAAATATATTATATAGGTTTCTTTTTGCTGTTTTTCTTCTGTTTTGCCCAAAAAAATTACTGATTTATTTGCTTTTTACAACTGATTTACCAGTTTTAAACTTTTTTGTTGTTGATCCTTTTACTGTTTACTATTTGTTTACCAATTTTTTTGTTGTATGGCTGCTTTTTGGCTAATTTGGTGTTGTTTTTTCTAGTGGTTTGTCAATTTTTCTGCTGATTTTTTCAACTCATTGCTGTTTTTTGCTGGTTAGGTGCTGTTTTGCTGGGTTTTTCTACTGGTATGCCGGGTTCTTTTTTGTATTTTTTTAACCATTTCTTTTCCTGTTTATATTCAATCAGAACTAAGTTGCTTAGACTTTTCACTTTTAGTGCCGCACCCTTGTCGACACGACATGAGTGTGGGTGTGGGATCTGTGTCCGATTTGGTCAACTTATTTTGGGTACTTTGACCAAAATCGATAGAGAAATTTTGGACAGTTTTAATAATTTCTATAATCAATACAAAAGCTAAGATGAAATTGAAGAAAATGAAATATCTTCTATATAGAAATTTCTAATTCACTCATTTTCTTTTGATTTCCTTCCAAGATTCTCCCCAATTCTCCATATATCTCATAAGTTAGGTTTTATAACTTTCTTTTTAGATATCTTAATTATATTTAGGTGAATCCCCGCACCCGTCTCCATACATGGATCCATATCCCTGAATCTTAAAATTAGATCATGAAGGATCCAACCTCCAGATCACACCCGTAACGAACACCCGCACCCAAGTCCGAGCTACTTAGAATCAGACCGAATATGGATATTTGGAAGGAAGTCATGTGCTTGGCACACGTATTTATTTCAATTGTTAGTTTTTTAACATAAGTTATCAGAATATTTATTGCAAATGGATAGTTGATGTTTTTTCATCACAATCGTATATCTATATATAAGAGAACCCTCAACCAGATGAAGTGGCGCCACCGCAAACTTATATATTCTCACCAACTACCCTTCCCATTCTCCAGAAAAACGCCACAATCAAACATCGCTTCAACCCATCAACCCTAAACAACCGCTTCCCCGCTTCCTTCCTTTTAAACTTATTGCGGCCCTTCAGAAACGTTGTCTCTATTTACAACGGACACCACCATCTTAAGAATTGAACCACAGACTATTCTGATTCTCTAAACTACTTCATGTCTACTGCTTCTGCCTGTTTCTGCTCACCAACCTCAATAAAATCCCAAAGTTCTCCACTACTGCCTTCGAAGTTGTGCTCGACGGCGGACCAAATACGTCACTATTCAGGTATGATACTCATTCAACCTACTATCCATTCTCCCTTTTCCCAGCACGGTCCCAATAACGACTTCTTCTATTAAACATTACACTACAATCCAGACTTGTATGTTTAGCACTGAGCCTGCCACACTCACACCAGATCATCCAGGTATGCTGCTTTCACTTTGCTATACTCCTGCCCCTGTAAGCCTTGGGAAGCTTCTCACATTTCCCATCATCAAAAAAGAAAAATTGGACTCCTCATATGGCTAATTTCACCCTTTATTGGCTGCCCCAGCCTTATTCACACTTTAAGTGATCTTAGGCGTATTTATATGCCTAGGAACCTAATAATATCCATATTTAAGCCAAGTTTGAATTCAATTTGTGTTTTTTTATAGTCGTATCGAGTCTTTTGGTTGTATATGAGCTAACCAACATGATTAGTTGTATAGGTGAGCTTGGATAAAGAAACGAGCATTTAAATGGGCACCGGAAAGTGTGAAAGGAACCAAGCCGAAAAGCAGCAAGAAGGAAGAGTGAAAAAATGAAGTCAATGGAGATTTGTATCCTCTACGCGTCGAGGAGAACGATGTGATTCGTGGATGCAAATTAGCAAACTGAGGCAGAACACACTTTTCCTTCTTCATGCTGTGGTGAGGGATTTTGAAACTTGTTCGCAAAATTTGAGTTGAGGCAGAACGGTCCGTGTCAAGGCCGCGTCGCGGAGAAGAGAAAATATTCTCAAAATGGAATTTGTCAGGCTCTCCGCATCGCGCCTATAGATGTCAGATTTGGCCGTTTCGACTTTACTATAAATAGGTTAATATTCTATTTTATTAAATTATTCTTTTTCTGGGTTCAAAAGAACAATGATTTGGAGAGCTACTTCATCAGTTTTTAGGGTTCTTTCCTGAACTTTTCTATTTTCGATCTTTGTATGTCATTTAAACATTGTTTGATCGACAATACCATTATGAGTAGCTAAATACCCTAGTTCTAGTGTTGTGGCTACAGGAATATTGTAATTGATCAAGTTTTTATGGATTGTATTTAACTATTATATGAATTCTCTTATGTTCTTGTTTTTCATATTTCGTGCCTGATCATCATTGAAATAAACACATTGTCCGAATTGAACTCGGGAGAGGAATAAGAGGATAGAACTTGGGGCATAAGGAGCATGATTTTCTCTTACTAATTAGGGTTAATTTGCATCTATGATAGGGATATAACTAAAAACCATGTTGATCATTATACAGGAAGAAATCGTAATGCTCGGTACTTGATCCAACCTATCCCCGCTCACGATGTGATTAGGTTGTCATTTATCGTAGGCGATTAGAGATCGAAAGACCATAATCACACACTTAACCATGTGCTCATTAATTTGATAGTTGATAAACATCCATTTAAATAAGATAAATTGCATGAATCCTGATAAGAGTTGCAGCCCTGGACTTTACCCAATTATTATTTGAAACCCTTGAAATTGAATCGCTATTGTTTAATTTTGTTTAACATTTTGATTAAAAAATAAATCACTCTTGAAATCTTGATAACACTTGTGTTAAGCTGAAAGTTTTGGGGAAATTAAGTGATTCTAATCGTGAGTCCCTGTGGTATGACATCCGGTTATAAAAGCCACTTAAATACTTGAACGACTACGTACACTTGCGTGTGTGATTTGGGCACCATTAAGCCTCCTTTATGTAATTCCGCAATATGATACCTCCCTTAGTTGTTATTACTTACATATCTTTTTTTTTAAAGAGAGGTAACATTTACTTCTATATATCCACAGGTATACTACATCAAAGTGTAGTCCCCCTCCAAAAAGTTTTACTTACATCATTTATAACATCTTCTAGTTACCACCAGAAGCCAGTCAATGATATTAAACACATTTTCAGCATCCCCTATTACTACTTGCTTACCAAAAATAGAAAGCCCTAGGCAATTTGTCTTTATCTTCTGGATATTGTTCTGTTTTCCTTCAAAACATCTTTGATTCCTTTTCTTCCAAATTCTCCACCAAATGCAAGCTGGGACAATCCTTCATCTCTTCTCTTTCTTTCCTGCATTTCCATCCCATCCCTGTTCCAGCATTTTAGGACTTTTATAATTCTCCCAAGCTTTGTCCACTTGATCTTCCTCTTTTGGCACAATTGATCTGTCCATTTGCAGTGTAAAAAAAGATGGTTGACTGTCTCCACCTGTTCTTCACATAAATAGCAACTAGAATGTAGATTGGGCTTCCTCTTGTTTAAGTTCTCATGTGTCAAAGACTGCCTCCTTTGACTTTTTTTGCAAGCTTATTGTTCATTCTTATGGCTTGCCACGTATCTAATTTTACTGCAAATATCTCTTTACCCTTTCTCTATTCCAAAATTTGTTGAGACTACATTCAACAGCTACTGAATCCATGCATTAGTTCTCCTTCGTTGCTGCTACATTTTATAACGTTCAATCTTTCAGTGCTTAGAATAAATACACTTGTGCTACTTTACGCAAACTTCAACTTGTGCGGGACACTAATTGTGATTTCCTGCAACTTACTACTTTCATTATACACCTTATACATAAACACGCAAGAATACACCAGTGGAGGAAAGAAATAGAGTCCATCCTACACACCTAACCCCTCCAATTGATTGCCTGGGTACAGATTATACCTTCTACTTCTTCATCGTTGGCCACAACAAAATTGTCTTTCTTTTTTGCTTCATCAATTAAACTACCTCCGGTCCCCCTCGAATGGGCACACACTCACATGTCAAAATTACGGATTGAATGCCTGCGGAGAAACCAAGAACCACTGACAGCCTTCATCTGTCCAAGAATGCTCTGCAATATCCATCAGGCAATGAATAATGATTGTGGAACTGATACTTAACGTACAAAAAAAATGTTATCTCATGTTTACTGTTTCAATTTGCTGCCCCTGTGCTTCCAGTTACCCGCCCACCCCTCCTTAGCACACTTTACATTCACATTGTTTTGGCAATGTGACTTTTGTCCGACTAGTTCACCGCCCATTTTATTTGTATTATGGTACAACTCGCTTTATAATGGTATATCCTTCGCTAGCTTTATTGTCCCTTCATTTACATGGTTTAAACACAACAAAGCTGGGCCAATGGTTATTAATGGTACACATCATGTTCTGTGAATTTTTCCTTCTTGACACAATTGAGATGTATAGTCGAATTTCATGTCCTGTAAAACTTCCCTCCTTGTCTCGTAATGAATGGTGTTTCTACTTGATTATCTATATGCTGTTTGGGAAGAAGTTCCCAAACGTAAAAAGACTCATGCTTTCGAGTCTAACATGCGGATAAAGCAAAATGATAAGCCTTGATGGACTCAGATATTAGGTTGTGGCTGTTGGAATCTAATAATCATCACAACATCATTAGGAAGTGAAATAGTAAATCCGTTAGTTAAGATATATACATGCATAAGAGTAAATCAGTTTCCGGCAAAATAACTTCAAAGATTATGAACAGATAACAACCTGACATATCTTAGTATAATGTGCATTACCACTTATAATGATAAGTGGAAAACACATCTGCAAAAAAAGTAAGAGATAATTGTATGGGCCTATTATCCGCTCTCTATCCTACTCATCTAACATCTAAATTCATCACATCCGAAACCCACACTCATCATAAAAGAAATTTCAACAAGACCTCAGAAACAAGTATATTTCTCCAAGTAAACTCAAGATGAAGTAGAAAATCATCATTTCATCATCATCTATATAAGTAAAAAGACAATACAAAGCATTCATATGGAACTTCATTATATAAAAGGACTTGACCTTTCCAACCAAAAAGATTGACAGACGGAAACTACCCATAGAAGAAGCAGAGAGAACAAACAGAGAACCAAGGCAAGGATGAGGGCAGAGGGAAGGATGAGGGCAGAGGGAACAAATGGTGTTCACGACCAGTTTTATGAACCTTTAACCCGGCATTGAGAAGAGAAATAAAAATATTTTTACCTCTTAAGGCTTTTAGAATAGAGACTCATACCACCATGTGCATTAATATTTAATTTTAGTGGAAGCTCATATAGGATGATGGAGGGGAAAGCAACAGTTAACATAATTCTGAATGTCAAAACTACACTTTGAGAAAAACTACACTTTGAGCAAAAAAACAATTAAGGCATGGTTTCACATGTGTGCATCATTTCCCTCCAGAGGCAAGTGACATGAAGATAGACAAGCTTGTTTCGACTTTTGAGACAATAGTTTATTAAAATTAATCTATTTATGAAAGCACTCTTTACCTCGTGATAATTTATGTTCTGGATCAAACGATGTAAAGGAACAGCACGAAAAGGGAAAATCTCTTCACCTCAAGTTCCATGAGCTCACGCACTAAGCTAAGATCTGCAATTGAAGGTTGGCCACTCCCAAGCAAAAGTCGCCCTTTTTTCTGGATCCAAACAGACTCGATATTAGCAAGAGATGCCAAAAGGACTTTCTCAGCTTCTGCTGCTGCTTGTGGATTCAAAGTCAACCCAAAAGCAGGAGCGAGAACAGTATCAAAGATATATCCAGCTGAAAGAAAACATAAGCAATGCTTCAAAAAACTATTGGAAACAGCTAAAGAGTGGGATATCAAGTTATCAACAAAAAGTAGTAATTAGGGAACATAGGTGAAAAGACTACATATCCTAGTGGTTTTAGTTACTGTCATTGTTGAAGAAAAAAAGTCACCACCATGCAGTAGCTAAACTCACAATTAGAGGTTTGAGAAAGGTCAGGTGTTTCAATTTAGAGGAATCAGGTCCTAAAGATAGACTAAGAAACTTGTAGGCTTGCAGTAACTGTCTTGCATTAGGTTAGTAGCGAGTATCTTAGCAAAGAGCATCATGATAAGCAGATTCTCTTTTTCTAAAACTCATACAAACAAATTCCCTTGATTAATCTCATTTGGGATAAAATTGTAATTCAGTCATTGCCTTAACTGTAGCCTGTAGGCATCTTTCTGCCCAAGTTCTCGCAAATCCCAGCATTTACCACTAAATTAACTCAAGTAAGGTCAAGGTAAAGTAATCATAATTCAACTGGAAACTGAAATAATCTCAATATCTGATATAAGCACCTGTGCCATGACGCAAGTTTGAGTGATGCCAATCCAACATAGAGTCTACCTTTGCTCTTTTGTATTAGTCGGCAGGGTACCTTCAATAGGAGTAAGACAGTGTAAGAAAGAGGAGTTAAAGCAAACACTAACCAGGATAAGCATTTATAAAACTTAAGAGTGTGTACATTAGTCTATCACTAAGAATTAAGAGCAACGCTGTTCACAGGCACCATAGACGTACTTTTTTTTTCTTTTTCAGATAAGTTGGTACAGTTCATAGGTTCTGATTGAAGACTTACTGTGTGTTCACATTCATCTCTTCTCAAATTTGTATAGGGCTTGTTTATTATTCGGTGCTGTTGTTGAGCAGGCATTCTCCAATCTGCTAATTCTTTCCTAGTTCTTCTTTTCTGTTGGAGTGCTTCTTTGGTTTGTTCAGGTAAAAACTTGCCCGCATCCGATATTTACACCAAACAATGTACTTTACCATGGTTAAGTAATAAATGAGATGAAAATGCACATTAATTAACCATAGTTAGGTGATAAAAGAGTATGCAGAAGACATGTGTCATGTTTTTTTTTTATGAAGTAAGATGTATTAGAAAGGCATCAAGGAGATCCAAATTACATACACAAATATATGGTTAACTCCAGAAAAGAAAAACACCTATTTAATCAGGGAGATAACCACAAGCAAAAGAATGGTCGCTAAGCCATATTGAGAAAACTAATGAAATCTAAGAGGGGTAATATATCATTTATAGGGGATAAGTTGCTCCAATGGAAGAGATTAATAAGGCAAAAGAATTTCAAACTGCTAATTGGAGTTGAGATATCATCAAAACATCTAAGATCCCTTTCCTCCCAAATACACCAAAAAAAAATGATGGAATCATCTGCCAGGTCGTCTTGATGGGGTTATCAACTTCTCTGGGACTCCAACTTCTAACTACTTTTTTGAAACCTCGCTGGACAATCCAGTTGTTACCAGCAATTGAAATAAACATATTCCAAAGAGCTGCTGCCACTGGAGAGCGCAGAAACAAATGAACATGTTATTATTGGTTTGCTACAAATGACGGGTTTCTTAGCAAACCAAGATGTGTTTCTCTGCAAAACTCTACTACTCTACTCTCAGTTTAACATCACACAGTTGCCAACTGCAGAATTGTTCCATTCGTAATGCCGATTTCCATGTTCAGAGACAGATGCAATATGGGTTCCGGTAAACCCAACATTTTAACATGGAACTTGATATTTACGTGATCATTAATTTTTTAATAACTATTAAATTCTTAACAATAATTTCAGAAGTGCAATGGGTCCAGCAGTGAGAATATATAAGTTGAACCCATCAAATTTAAATCCCCGATCCGCCCTGGGTTGTATTCCATGTCAAGGACGAGAGATTCAAAGAGTATTCATTTCCATGATACAAAGCATTTGACTAAGGTATATACTCAAAATAAGTCTACGCACTTACCAATGATCTGCAATTCCTGGAAATGCACAAGCCCGATATCTAAGAATTGCATGACTGGATTTCATCGTAAACAGTTCTGGAAATCAGACCTCTTTGAACCACATTACTCCAAAACATATTTAAAAGGGTATTCTCATCAGAGTAAGAAGCATTAAAACTTTTGTACATTTTTAGGGTTATCATTAGCCTTCTTTTGTACATGTCGTCTAACAAATATGATGCAGCATCAACCTTCCCTGCCATAAAGAAAGCATATGCAAGAGTAGCATATATTAGACTATCTCCAAGCACTCCCTTTGTTTGCATAATGTGGAAAACTTTTTCAGCACCATCAATTTTACCTCTCCTACACAACCTCCTTATAATTGCCCTATAAAAGGAAACATCAACAAGATGACCTCCTTTCGCAAACTCATCTGGCAATGAGACAACAGCTACCTCATTATTCAGATGGCAGTAAGCATCCACAAGCCACGAATATGAGCAGTAGCTAGGAGAAAGTCCAACCCTAACCATGTCAAATAATACTTCTTTGGCCCCATCCGTATCCTTTACTTTACAAAATCCATGAATCATAGCATTGTAAGTAAAGCGGTCAGGTTTTAGTCCACCTTCCAACATCTTATTTTTCACCTTAAGAGCAGATTCCATATCCCCGATCTTGCAGTAACCATTAATCAAAGTGTTGCAAGTCACATTATCAGGTATGACTTTCTTCTCATTCATCTCATTTAATAGTATATTTGCATCCTTCATCTGGCCTTGCTCACACAATTTCCGAAGAATTGAGTTGTAAGTAACAACCCCGGGATACAAACCCTTTGTCTCCATTGCGCCTTTCAATCTTAAAGCTTCAGCAACATTGTTGGCTCTGCAATATCCATCTATCAATGTGGTGTAAGTAACCAGGTTAGTCGTAGAACCTTTAATTTCCTTGAAAAGTCTCATAGCCTCCCTCATCCTCCCTTCCCTGCAGTAACTGTAAATTAAGGAATTATAGGTTACAATATCAGGACATACTCCTGCTCTTTCCATCCTATCCTGCACGCACAAAGCTTCATAATGCATGCCTTTCTTGCAGTACAATGATATCAATGTGTTATAAGTGTAAAGGTCAGGCAGTGTAGCTTTAAACTCCATTTCTCTCAATAAATCATCAGCCCGCTCTACATCACCAGACTTACAACAGGCATGCATAAGCACGTTATAGATATAGATATTTGGAAGGACCCCTATTTTTTGCATCTTTTTGTAAATTTTCCACAAAGTATCAGTCAACCCATCCTTGACCAATGAATTCAGAAGGGTAGAACAAGCATGTGTATGGGGCATAAGCTTACAAACTCTCATATGCTCAAAAACTTGAATTGCATCATGGGGTAGTTTTGAATTAGCATAGAATATCACCAACCAACTTAAAAGATGTGAGTTCACATCATTATTCATATTAGATCTCACAAGCGCATTCAGAACTGTCGGTGACGATAAAAAGTTTTTGACCGCCACCTTCTGAAGCATGTCTTGTGCAGTTTTGAAGTGTTTTTGTTTGGTGAGTATGTACATCATAGTCCAAGAGGATTGCAACGAATGCTTGTGACTGGGAACTGATTCAGCCCACTGAAAGAATGACCATGAGAGGGAGAAATAATATTGTGATATATGAAGAAGAGCTTGGCGAATAGTGGTGGAAGTCACAGATGAACCAATCTTAGGCTTCAAAAGATTGTCCCAGTGCCCCTTGAAGACAACTGCAGCAACAGCTTTGACCATTTCATTGTCCAAATTAGCGCGAATCAAGTTGGCCATGGAAAAAGAAGATAGGCAACCCACCAAACGTTCAAACCACACTGGTTGTCAATATTTGTTGCAGCTTTTGCTCAATTAGTTATGTGGTTCAAAGATGTGGGGAAAAATTATTGAGACTCAGTTCTCGACTTTGGTGTATCTCATCAGTCATCAAACTCATCAATGCTGGCTGCAAAAGTAACATAAAGACCAAAGAGAAGATGATTTCAGAGTAAGAACTCAAAGATAATAGAATAAATTTACTACCAACTATAAAAAAAAAGAGAGAGAGAAAGAAAATGTATTAATTGTAATGAATTCAGTCCCTGCATCTAGAGGCAGTTCATCCTTGAATGGATTGATGCAAAGTATAGTATTCTTAATACTTATTGATATTCTTTGTTATACAAAACTATTAATCGATAGAGCACAAATCAGCTAGCTTTGATTGGGTAATTGCCCAGATACGTGTCTTAGAAGCTCAGCACAGCTGTACTTGGCTGTGACAGGACGGGAACTAGTCAAAAATCCGTCATAAGTACCTGCTATATATCATCATCTTCTACTCTATCCATGTTTTGGTCAATTAATAGCTTAAAGAAAAAATATCAGGTGTGCTATTTTAAGATATAAGCAAGTGGCACATTTGAGAGTGTTCTACCAAACTTTACAACCACCCACCAACAAAACAAGGTTTCTTCTTTCTCATTTGGATATTTGACAAAAGATGAACGTCTTCAGAATTCTCTATTCACCATGACAAATATCTCCCATTCTCAAGCAAAGCTCGGCGTCGGTATAATAACACAATCAGTATAAAACATGACTACTACAGCCCCCTTACCAATATCCCATTAATTCAATCGACAAAACATATTGTGAAGCCAACATATAATAATTGTCCCCGGAACTCAGATAAAATTGTGAAAGGACTTTGGTTCCTTTGGATACATCATTTCAAGCAACAAAGACTGCAGGGCAGTGCATACTTGAGCAATTAATGGGCACAAATCTGTCACACTTTTTCTCATGTTCCACAAATTGATGTGAAAACGAACAAATGTAAAAGCACAAAAAGAAAAGGGCAAGGTTCTCCAGCATAACAATGAAAATAAAGGCTTAGTCCAAGATTTTTGAATAATGAATTAGTTAGAAGAAAACATATTAGTTATCTAAAACCAAACAATAGATACTTTAGAATGGCTATCAACTTATGGCACATATGATAACCCAGATTTTTAAGCAAAATCTTTTATCAAGTAAATGAAAAATTAGGGAAAGCTCACACAAGAATTAAGTTGTGGTTAAAGGCATAAAAAACTGCAATTGGGGTTGCCCACATAATCAAAAGATGTAATAAATAACTTATTAACAACTCCTGCCGTAGTTGCTATCAACCTGTGAAATAATACTGAAAGAATGGAGTATAATCTGATAGAGGACGGACAAAAGAACCCAATTAGAATGAACCAGAATCGTGCAAAAAGGAAGTTCATAAGGCAAATCCTCTTTTTTCCCCTTCATACATCATTCTCATCATAGACATGGATAGAGTTTATGCAATAAACATAATACAAATTTCTTTGATTTATCATTCTGCTTTCAAGTTCATTGAAGATTCAATTTGAGCTCAACAAATGAACACTAAGCCTATGAGAAATAAATTTCTGAAAATAAGGAGAAGAATGAACCTCAGTGTCTCTGGATTTGAAATTCAAAGCTAATGGACTGATGGAGTTGTGAACGGAAACTTCAGACAATCGGCAAAATCTCGCACAGAAACCGCCACTAATGCTACCAAACTCGAACCCAAAGAGAGGAACTTTATCAACCTTAATGCGAGTTGACAAATCATACGGAACCAAAGCTGAGGTTTTATCGTGTATTCACTGTGTTCCAAGCAGTGCCCAAATCCGAAATTTTGTATCCAACAAGTACATTTAAAAAAAAATTGACTAATGGATGTAACAAAAATAATTTAAAGTTAGGCATCATATCTATATTGGATTCTAAACGTAGATTTAAATTTAAACTTTGACTTTCAACTTTCATAATTCACAAACAAACACTTTAACTATTCAATTTTTAAATAAATAAATACATGAGTCTACACGTAGGACAAAAAATGACATGTAGGATCACATATAGGACATTTGTGTTTATTTGTTCAACTTTATACAAATTTAAATGTGCATTTGTGCACATTCAAAATTAAAAGGCATAAACTTGATTTGAAGTCAAGTTAAAGGACACGTTTATATATTATGCCTTAAAGTTATATACTACATACAAAATAAAGAATACAACCAAACAAACTTTTAAAAAAATAATTCTATAAGAGCCCTTTTTTTATTTTGATTGTTTTATAAAAAATTTCAAGGTAGTTTAGTAATTTGAATTAAATTTTTAAAACTTATTTTAATTTTAATTAAAAATAAAGTCAAAGTCAAATCAATTTAAATTTTGATTGGCTATTATATATTAAAAAGATTGTTAATTTTTTAAATTGGATCTAATTAAAAATTATTTTATCAAATAATATTAATTTTGATTTATTTCTAACCATAGATTTATTAAAAGTAACTAAAACAACTCTTTAAAATGGCATAAAGGACAATGCTATCAGTGAAAATCAAAACTTGGACTCCCTCACTCCCCTTGCACTTTACTTTTTCAGCCCTAATGAACCATGGGGCTACATATGTTTGGATACTATTTTATTTATATAACAAATAGTCATTTAGGATACTATTTTATTTATATATATGATATAATTGTTTGGCGAAGGATGTCTGGTTGAACACATTGACACCACTATAGCTCCACCATGTTTCCATAGTGACTGTGGTGGTGAAGAAAGAGAAAGACAGTGGTGTTTTGTGTGTTAAGTATGAAATTCAAGCTTCTCGATTCTCCACAACAACAAAAAGGTCCAGGTTTAGACAAAAACATCCAAAATCAATCAAAATTGATAGCTCAAATTGAAAAAACTTATTACTTAATCATAATGAATTATTGACTTAGTGATTTTGATAATAATTTTAATTTTTTATCATAGATTATCCGTTCTTAATCGTTTGATATCTTTTTATAAAAGGTTTAACTGATAACTGATAGTAAATTAAATAATTATTAGGGAATTATCATATATAATCACTTAAAAATAGCTTAATTATGTTGTATAACTATAGTTTGTTAATTACAATTCGTAGCTACGTGTTATAAAAAAAAGGATGGCAGCGAGATTTGGAGGGGTAGGAGAGAGACGAAAGAAAGAGGATAGAGAGTGAGAGAAGGTGAATTCTATATGTATATCCTTAAATAACTGAATATATGTAATTGACATATATATGTATTTGTATATCTGGCAAGCGAAATCAGGAGATGAAGGAGAGAGGCAAACGAGAGAGTGCGAGAGAGAGAGGCGAAGTATATGTATATCGTTAGATAATTGTATATATGTAACTTATATATATGTGTGTGTGTGTGTGTGGAGTTCACTCACTCTTATCAACTGAACCTTTACACTCAATCAAAAGAAGATTTTTGAATCATTCTTATCATGTATGGAGTTCACTTGCCCTTAAATAAATGATATGTCAAATTCACGTCACTTAAATTAATGACATATCACAATTATTTTTATTAACAATTTTTAAAAACTACTAACCAAACTTATTTAATAAAAGATAAAATAATAAAGTTGGGGATTCCATATACTATCTCCCCATTATTTTTAATATATTCTTTAAAAATAAAGTTCAAAACTCCATACATTATCTCCCCATTTCCATCTTGAAACTGTCAAAATCTAAAGCCTTCATCGCCATCTTTGTCTTTGTCATCGTCGCAGCTCTTGTCGACGATCACATGTACTCTTTTCCTCATCCGTCTTCATCTCCGACACACCATGACCACTAGATTTGCCCGAAAAAACTCTTCCTTGTCACGACCACATCCCACCCTTACCCGCCTCATTCTCCTTCCACTGACATATGTCGTCTCTTTTACTCTTTTGCGAATTAATGTCTCCGCACAAGCACAACCACTGCCGTTCTCTCCCTTCATCGGCAAAAACTCAATTGATTCAAGGAGGTGACAATGCCAAGATCTTCAAAAGAAGATGACATGAGTGTGAAGAAGAAGAAAAAAATGGGTTGGACGAGGATGGAGATGCATAAAATGGAGGTGGAGTGATCGAAGAAATAAGTTTTTTAATTATTTTTTAAAAAAGCTTATTATTTTATTTTTTTAACTTATACAGAATAGTCATTCGCCACAACGATAGTGAATTCACGCTCTTTTGTCAACTCAACCATCTTGATGTCACATAAGCCTAGTCAATGGTCAGAGGAATTTGATAGATTGTGTTTAAGAGTTTAATTGATAAAGAGTTAAGGAGAAGGGTTCACAATACAAACTCGTACAAATACAGAGGCCTATTAAATCATTTCTCCTAAAAATTTATGCACAAAAATATTAAATATATCTGGTGATAAAACTAAAAAATCAAAAAGAATCATCGTCAAGTACAAATACAAACCATCGTATACAAATACAAATCAAGCAAAGAATTGTTAGTCTTTTATTAGACTTTTGGGACATTGGTGCCCCCGCCGTTCAAGAGCTAGCGCATATATATCCTTTATACTAGTGAACATACACATGTCATAATCTTATCCACCAATCCGACATTTATTAAGTATCGGATCGACAAATAAGATTGTGTCCCTATTTAGTCTTCTATTAGAGCGAAGAGCATATATACTCTAGTTTATGGACGATAGGGGCACCAATGTTCCAAAAGTATAACAAAGGGTATATGCGTACCATTATAAATGTCATTTTTCCCTAGTTAAAGTTATATTTTGTGTATGTATAGTTGATGTTGGACACTCTTTGACTTCTTATATATTGATCTTTTTATATTTTGAATTTCCTTCAGTCACTATTAAGCAAAGATAGCACTCTCAACGTTAAAATTCTAAATCTCTCTCTCTATACATATATATATACTAATTTTTTTGGCATGTGCAATGCACATGATTATCAATTCAGAAAATTTAAGCGAGGATTTGAATAATAAGTTTTGCACAAAATAATATTGCAGATTCTTTTGTGAATGTCAAATGTGGTTCATCATATATATCTCTTATTCGCACGTACCTATGAAAATGGTCAATGAAAATTTTATTAGTGAAATGCAATAATGTATATATTTATTTCAATTTGATGAGGTTCAATCATATAATTAGTTGTATCTAACTAATATTACCTTATAGAGGATACTTATTGTGTATTTTTCTTGTCATCTATCCAGATGTGCTTTGCACGTGTATTCCACTTAATCTATTTAGATGCAACTTCATTTTATCTTTTCGAATTGTGTTTGTAATTTTTATTTTATAAGTTTATAACATAATAGATGACGTTCTTTTTGTTGACTATCATATTTGACTTTTCGATTGAGTGTCTACATAAACAAAGATAGTTATCTAAATGCTCATAGTTAACTAAGAAATATTTTCTTTTTTTTCCGAAAAAAACTAAAAATTAAATTCAAAGAATATATTTTATATGTGAATTCATATATATAATCACATGTTTATTTTACACCCAACAAATATATAGTTCATATACTTGTATACAATTTTCAATTTATTCAACCAAGCATGATTCATCCACGAAAAAATAACACCATTGTGTTATCACATATATAGGGGCGTTGTAATAATATGAAAAACTATTCGTCAAAATTGATATAAGAAAAGATGAAAGATAGAAATAATTGATTCAATAACTATGAGAGTTCATAATATTATAACTAATAACTAAAAGGTGTAGAAGAGTGTGAGTGACATTTGTAATAATTAATAATAACTAACAGAGTTTATAATGTTACAACTAAAGAATTATAGAAGAATATCTAACAAATTTTATACCATCATAAATAAATAGGACCTTCAATTAATGTTACTATCTTTTTTCTAGTTATTAGATTTAATTTAGTGTAGGGACAAAATGAAAATGTTCATTCCACATCCTAAATATAAAATTTGTTTTGTTAATGATGATTTTAAGCGATTCATATATATTCACATATTTTCACATTTGTGATGAGTCATTTCTCTTTAAAAAAGGAACTCGAAAAATTTTAAAATAATATATTTTGAAGTTACAAGATCTTGTTAACTTGAAATATATATATATATATTAGCCTCTTCACTGAGTCAGTGATGATATTGTCATCTATTTATTGTGAAGCCTCAACACCATAGAAGGATACACCATCAGATTTCCTTTCGAGCTCTTCGATTACTTGTTTATCAGCTTTAGAAGTTTTGAAAGTTATATCATCTATCACTTCGCCTGAAATTTGGCCTTCAAGGTCTGCTTTCCCATCTATTTAATCAACATTTTCTCCATTTGCTTCTAATATTTGATCTTAGCCAATGATTGACCTTGATATGACTGATGATTGATTGGAGACTTCAACTTCTCATAGATCTTCCTTAGTACTTTTTCCATAAAGGTCACCATCAACATACATAGCTCCAGACATTTTTTCAGAATCCATTTCCTTGATTTCATATATATTCCCATATTTTCACATTTGTTGTGATTCATTTTTCTTTTAAAAAAAAGAACTCAGAAAATTTTAAAATAATATATTTTGAAGTTACAAGATCTTGTTAACTTGAGTATATTGAAGAACGTAAGATACAATAAGCTCGAACAAAATATAACTGAATGAGTCTAAGATAATAGTTTCCACAGAATAAAAATAGCGATCGACTGATAGAATTACAAATTTTAAATAGAGTCACAATTCCACTAAAACTAATCCACTAACCTAACTCTCTTAAACTGTAACACCTTGAAAATTCAAGACGTGTCGTAAAGCCTAACATAGG